TTGATTGCAGGTGTCGGAAAAAACCCAAAGTCAAGTAGCTTAAAAGCCAGTGGTTTTCACACGTTTTTGACCGTGACCCTCTAAAATAAATATATCTCACGTTGTGACCCAGTACACTGTACATGTGCGTATGATAATGATTTTTTCTGAGTGTGTGCTCTGTGCCAGGCACTGTGGTAGCATGGTGTTAAACTCATTTAATTCTCATGACAACTTTCTGAGGTGGGTACTGTTGGTATCCCTTTTTTTTTTTCAGAAGAGGAAAGTGTAGCACAGAGAGGTTAAGTGATTTGCCTGAGGTCACACAGTTGGTAAGAGGCAGAACTTAGACATGAATTCAGGAAAGTCTGATTTCAGAGTCCAGGTAGCTCTAGAGCAGTGATGGCGAACCTTTTGAGCTCGGCGTGTCAGCATTTTGAAAAACCCTAACTTACCTCTGGTGCCGTGTCACATATAGAAATTTTTTGATATTTGCAACCATAGTAAAACAAAGATGTATATTTTTGATATTGATTTTATATATTTAAATGCCATTTAACAAAGAAAAATCAACCAAAAAAATGAGTTCGCGTGTCACCTCTGACATGTGTGTCATAGGTTCGCCATCACTGCTCTAGACCAACAGCAACTCTGGAAGAAAAAGGCTTTCTTTCAGTACCTACCCAGAACCCTGGTAGGCCTTTTATCTCTTAAAGCAGCCACACAGGGAAAGAACTATCAGCTCTATTTTACAGCTAGGAATCTGAGCTTCTAGGTGTTAATAACCAGTTCAAGGCCTTACAGCCAGTAAGTAGCACAGGCTGGGTTTCAACCCCAATCTTTTTTACACCAAAGCATGTAGTGTCTTTTAAAAAAAATTTATTGTTTTGAGTAGGTTATTTTGTTATTAAAGACCCAGTCCGGAGACAGAAACCCTAGCAATTTGAACAGGAATATCATAATATAAAAAACTGTGAAATAGGTAAAAGGTGGTTAACTACTGAAACTGTAGAAGAGATCGCCAAGGTGTGACGGAAGTAGTGTGATACCTTGAGGTGTCTTACATCCCAAGCATTCACCCCGTTACCCCTACCTGTTTGCTTAGTTTCTTGTGTATCTTTCCAGTTTTTAAAAAATGCAGATATAAGCAAATATATATATTCTATTTCCCCCTTTCTTACACGAAAGAAAACATATATTTAGTTTTTTAGCTTTTTAAAAAAAAATCTAACAGTATATCCTGGAAATCATTTCATATCAAATAGTAGAGATCTTAATATTTTCCCACTTTCTACAGCTGAAAAGTAATCCATTGTATCTATGAACCATAATTGATTCAACCACTTTCCTATGCTTGGACAGTTAGGGAATTTCCAATATTCTGCAAAGAATACTGTAATCTTGTGCATATATATTCTTGAATTGTTGGAGGCATATCTACTTCTTGGAGTAGGATTGCTAGGTGGAATGGTAAATGCATGTGTAGGTTGGTTAGATTTTGCCAGTTGCCCTCACTGGGACTTTAATTTTGCATTCCCACCAGTGCCGGGAGCCCTTGGTCCACGGGAGACTCAGTTGACCCCAGGGTGCCAGAGGACCTGAACACCAAAGTCAATTCTGTGTCCCATAAATGCTGTGCTCCTCACATGGATGCAACTCTCAGAGCTCTTGAAAGCTATGGCTTTCCTAGACACAAAACCCGGCGCTGGCTCATCCTTGAGATTGAAGCATCATGCATACCATGTACAATGGTGCCAAGATCCATCCTCCCTCATTTCACCAGCTTCCTAAGGGATATTTTCATTTCTTTTCTGGTAAACTGTTTGTTCTTGCCTGTTGCGCATTTTTCTATTGCATTGCTGGTCTTTTTGCTTTAGTTTTAGGCGCTCTTTATTTCCTGTGATATGAGTTCCAAATTTTTTTTTCCAGCATGTCATTACTCTTTTGACTTGGATTATTATATTTTTCCTTTAAAATTTTTACTTCTTTTCATGTATTCAGAAATACCCATCTTCTTTTTTATGGTCTCTGGATTTTAAGCCATAGTTGGGAAAGCTAGAGCTTTAATTTTATTTCTTGCTCTCTGGGACATTGACAAGAATCACTCTATGGCTCCTCCCACAGAAGCCTAGAGACCTTGGGGAGCCAAAGAGAGGTTCGGAGGGTGATGGTCGGTGAGACAGTGGGAGCATTTAGGGTCAAGGCCCAGCGCTCCCTGCCTGCCTGGCTGATAGGGACACTCTCCTCAACCCCCAGGACTTGGGCTATCCTTTGGAGCTTGGCTATCAGAACTTCCTTTACCCCAGTGAACCTGACCTCCGTGACCTGCTTCTCTTCTTGGCTGAGCGTCTACCTACGGATGCCTCTGAGGATGCAGACCAGCCTGCAGGTATGGGGTACCTGGGGCATAATGCGGGTGAGGGGAGAGGGTGGCATTCTTGGGTGTTATAGGGGCTGAGAGCGGTGGAATGGTAAAGAGGTTGCCAAAGAGCGGGTGGGGATATGTGTCTTTGGGAGAGCTGGGATTAGGGCTGGGAGAAGGGATACAGGGCAGGCGGAAGGGGCTAGGACTTGGGCTGAAGCAGGTGAGTTGGTGCTGGGAGGGGCTTCCCTGCCTCACCTCCTGCTTTGCTTCCCCTCATTCTAAGCCCCTTGGCCTCCTTGATGCCCCTCACATATGCCAGGTGCACTGCAACTTCAGGGCCTTTGAATCGGTTGGATTATTGTCCCCCCCAGATAGCCTTTTAAAAATATATATCTTTTTATTGATTTCAGAGAGGAAGGGAGAGGGTGAGAGAGATAGAAACATCAATGATGAGAGGGAATCATTGATCGGCTGCCTCCTACCCTCCCCCTACTGGGGATCAAGCCTGCAACTCAGGCATGTGCCCTGACCAGGAAATGAACCGTGACATCCTGGTTCCTATGTTGATGTTCAACCACTGAGCCACACTGGCTAGGCCAGATAGCCTCTTGATTTCTGATCATGTCACATCAGGGAGGCCAGTCGCAGACTGCCTTGTTTAAAATGACATCGTTCTCTCAATAGTATTATCTTCCTTTCCTGATCACCATCTGACAGTTTTCTGTACCCTCCTTATGACCTTACGATCTCCTCATGTTCACTGAGAGCCTGAGAGTCTCAAGTAGTGGCTGGTACATAGTAGGTACTCAGTATTTGTTGAATGACTGAGTGTGAGTTTGAGAGCTAGATAGGTATGCAAATCTTCGGGGGTGGTGTCAGGGAGCGATGGCTATTTTCCCATGGTCTGTATTTTTGCAGTTGTGGCATTGTCACCTGATTGACACCCCCTCCCTACCCCCATAGGTGACTCAGCTATCCTCCTCCGGGCCATTGGGAGCCAAATTCGGGACCAGCTGGCTCTGCCCTGGGTTCCACCCCTCCTTCGCACTCCTAAGCTGCAGCGCCTCCAGGTGGGACCCCCCAACTCAGGTTGATCTTTGCTTGTCTCTGCCTGGCTTTCCTTGTCCCCTTCTGGGTGCTCGAATTATTGGCCCCCTCTCACCAGTGCCCTTTATCACGGTTCATCTTAGAGGCTCTGATTCTGCTCTCCCACCAGGGCTCGGGCCCCCAGAATCCTTTCCATGCCAGTAGGCTGGCCATGCCTGAATTGAGTTCCAAAGGAGGTGAGCATGAGACTGTGGGGAGGTGCTGGGGAGAAGGGTAGAGGTGGGCCTGGCTGACTCTGTTCCTGCCTCCAGAGGCCCGGGAGTTCCAGGCAAGTTCCCTGTTACTACCGGCCCCTACCCAGGTGCCTCAGCCTGCGGGGAGGGTAGCCTCGCTCCTCGAATGCCATGCCATCCAGCTCTGCCAGCACACAGGCCAGGACCACCCCGGGGACAAGGACTGGGTCCACCGGGCATCCCGCCACCCCACCCAGGTACCGCCCAATGCTTAGCTTCCTGCCGCGGAAGGTCCTGCTCATTGTTGCTCCCATTTTATCTCCCATTGGTTTTCTGCCCCTCTTCTTTCCCCACTTTGTCCCTCTCTTTCATCGTCTCCCCTCTGTGTGCATCTGCCTGGCTCCCCACCTGCAAGAACATTGAAGTCAGAAAGGCTGTGGATTGGGGAGAAGTCAGTATCCTTGCTCAGAGTCTCAATTTGCTGTTTTAAGACACGGGTGGTGTTAGTGCTCTGCGTTTCACTGGAAAACGAGCATGAGCATCTAGCAACCACAGCAGTCAGGATCTGCTCTGTCCTCCCTGTTTCTACCACCTTCTTCCCACCCCGGAGGCTCTCACTCTTTCTCTGTCTCTGTCATTGTCAGCGATACGCATTTCTTCAGTCTCGAGGTCTCTGCATGATCTCTTCTGGTCACTCTCTCATTCTGTAGGTTTGCTGTCCCTCTCTCTCACCCCTCTGTCTTCTCATTTCTGTGCTGTCTCTCCCACTCCGTCCACCTGGATCTGTCCCCTCTCCCCTCTGCCCACCTCTGCAACAGCCTCTTCTTTTTTTTCTTGAGAGAGAGGAAGGGAGAGAGAGCTACATCGATGAGAGAGAAACATGAATTGGCTGCCTTCTGTACACCCCTGCCCCACTGGGGATGGAGCTCTCAACCTGGGCATGTGCCCTGACCGGGAATCTAACAGGCTACCTATCAGTGCATGGATTGATGCTCAACCACCGAGACACACTGGCTAGGCTGTAATAGTCTCTTTCTTTTTTAAGATCTTTATTGTTGAGAGTATTACAGATGTTCCCTCCTTTCCCCCCCATTGCCCCCCTCCACCCGGTTCCTGCCCCACCCCAGATGCAACATTCTCTTTCTGTCTCCCCCCATTGCCATGTGTTCCATCTTTATCTGTCTTTTTGAAACTTACAGAAAATTTCAAACACAGAAGTAGAGAGAATGTTCTAATGAATCCTATGTACCTGTCACTCACCTTCAACTACAACCATTTTGCCAATCTTTCTTCATCTAGTTCCCCAACTTTTCTTCTGTATTAATTTCTAGCAAATCCCAGACATGTCATTTTAACTCTAAATACTTAACTCATAAGGGCGTTCACTTTTTAATGTAACCCCTGGGCCATTTCACACCTAACAAAAATTAACAATGATCTCTCTCTTTTTTAAAATATATATTTTTATTGATTTCAGAAAGGAAGAGAGAGGGAGAGAGAGAGATAGAAACATCAATGAGAGAGAATCATTGATCGGCTGCCTCCTTCACACCCCTTACTGGGAATTGAGCCCACAACCCAGGCATGTGCCCTTGACTAGAATTGAACCCAGGACCCTTCAGTCCACAGGCAGATGCTCTATCCACTGAGCCAAACTGGCTAGGGCACAATGATCTCTTAATACCATTCACAATCACATTGCCTCAGTTGTCTCAAAACTGTCCCTGTTCTTTTAAAAAAAATATTTTTATTGATTTCAGAGAGGAAGGGAGAGCAAGAGAGAGAGAAACATCAATGATGAGAGGAATCATTGATCGGCTGCCTCCTACACTCCCCTACTTGGGATCTAGCCCACAACCTGGGCATGTGCCCTGACCAGGAATTGAACCATGACCTCCTGGTTCATAGATTGATGCTCAACCACTGAGCCATGCTGGCTGGGCAAAACTACCACACTCCCCTACTTGGGATCTAGCCCACAACCTGGGCATGTGCCCTGACCAGGAATTGAACCATGACCTCCTGGTTCATAGATTGATGCTCAACCACTGAGCCATGCTGGCTGGGCAAAACTACCCCTATTCTGTAAACCTGCGACCAAGGTACATGCCCTTGACCAGAATCGAACCCGAGACTCTACACTGTCTCATTTGACTCACCCTCTTTTTCTATAGGCTGACACTCTATCCACTGAGCCAAACTGGCTAGGGCAAAACTATCCCTGTTCTTATCTTTCTCTGCTTCCACCCCCTTCTCTGACCAGCACCTCTGACTCTGTCTCTGCTCTGTCCCCACATATCCTGTCCGTGTCACTCTCTGATTTGGGGCCTGCAGGTTTTCTTCACCACCTTCCCACATTCTCCTCCAGTGTGAAGCGTGAGTAGGTGGAGAGAAGTGTGGCTGTGAGAAAGAGGAGACCTCCCAGACCCGTGGGCGAGGAAAGCAGGCCGGAAGCCCCCTCAGTGGGAGTGGCTGGAGGGAGTGATTTGTCAGTTGCACCTTGTCAGGCGGCTCCTGGAAGAGGCAGGGCCTTGGGTGAACAGGAGGCCTCTACACTGTCCCGTTTGCCCCACGCTCTGTTTTCAGGAGGATACTCGGGCTCAGCGGCAGCGGCTGCAGAAGCACCTGGCTGAACATCTGCGTCAGACCTGGGGCCAGCTGGGGCCATCCTCACAAGCCCGAGACTTGGGAGAGCTGCTGCAGGCCTGGGGTGCTGGGACCAAGACTGGTGCTCCCAAGGGCTCCCGCTTCACACATTCAGAGAAGTTCACCTTCCATCTGGTGGGTGGGCCTGAGTGGACAGTGGGCCTGCGGATGGGGCCAAGACTGGCTTGGATGGTTGCTTTATGTACAAACACCCTACCTTATCCACACAGGTGCCTGTGTTCCCACCAGGTGTGGCCTCTCGGAACTAGGGGCTAGTACCGAGGAGTCCAGTGGAGAAAGGGTGGAGGGGTGGGAACTATATAAGGATGGAAGGGTGTTCTTTGTGCAAACTCCAGGCTTCCCCAGGAAGTTTCCTCTGGGCACTCCTTGGCTGGTCACCCAGAGGGGCACTCATCCTTCTCATGGGCAGTTGGGGCTTCAGAGATAGGGCAGGTGAGCAGGAGCTGTCAGGATCAGGGAGGTTTCTTTGTAGCAAACACTCTAGTCTGAGGTCGCAGAGAATGCCTTGATTCTCACATGGTCACAGTCTGATAGTCATCAGCTGTTGAGTGGGCATGGGTATGACTATCGGTCATCAGCTGTTTAATGGCCTGGGAAGGTGCTCGTGGGGGTTGTGGAGGCTGGGCTGTGAGGGGCAAGGCCTTCCTTGACAGCGAGATGCTCCCTTCTCACTCCCCCAGGAGCCTGAGGCCCAGGCAGCCCAGGTGTCAGAGGTGCTGTCCACCTCCCGGTGGCCTGAACAGGTGAGTAGAGCAGTGAGGTGTGTCCTGGCCCCTTGCCTGTCTACTGGGCTCGACACCCTGACCCTGACTGGCCTGTTCCTCCCAGGACACGTGGGCAGCTCAAGAGCAGGAGCTGGAAGCCCTTCAGGAGCAGCTAGAGGGAGTGAATCGTAACATTGAAGAGATTGGAGCCAGCATGAAGACGCTGGGAATCGGCCTTGTGCAGGTGCGGGTGGGGCTGCTGTCTGGGGTCCAGCCACAAGTCTGGGCTAGAGGGCTGGGGTGGGGGAGAGGGGCTTGAGGGGGATGAGAGGTACTCTGTAGAGGTCTGCAGGTATCAGAAGGATTTATAGGGGATGTGTGGGCTCTTGAGGGTTCAGGAGAATTGAGGGGGATGCATGATTCAGGGCTTGGTGGACCTGTAGGGGTGAGAGTGCCTGTGAGCATTCATCAGGCCTTGCGAGTGTCTGTGAGAATCAGGAGATGTGTGGGCATCTCTGGGCATCTGTGGGGCATGATGGGTCTGTACGGGCAGGAGGTTTTGGGGCTTGTCAGGGCTTCTGCGGGTCAGCGTGGAGGTGGAGGAGTCACAGGGGCCTGTGGGTGCCCATTTCTGCGTATAGGTCTCTGTCGCTCTCAGGAGGGGCCAAGGGGTCCATAGGGGCTGGAGGGGTGTGGCATTATCTATGGGGGCTCGGTCTGGGCCAGGGCTTCCCAGGCTCAGTGTGGGCTGGGAGCCTGTGGTGTGTGTTCGAACTCCCCCACTGACTGGGATTGGGAGTCCTGGGGTACCAGGTGGAGACCGAGTGTCGGCAGACTGAGCTCAGCATGGCCGAGAGGGAGCAGGCCCTGCGCCTGAAGAGCCAGGCGGTGGAGCTGCTGCCAGATGGGGCTGCCAACCTCGCCAAGCTGCAGGTGGGGCTGGGGCTGGGGTTGGGGCTGGGGCTGGACCAGGAGGGTCAGAGGTGGAAGTGCCCAGACTGTGTGACATCTACCCTCCTACCACCATTCCCAGCTCGTGGTAGAGAGTAGTGCCCAGCGGGTCATCCATTTGGCGGGCCAGTGGGAAAAGCACCGGGTCCCGCTCCTTGCTGAGTACCGCCACCTCCGAAAGCTCCAGGATTGCAGAGAGGTAGGTGGTGGGGTCCTGGGCTGTAGGTGGGACAGGTTTGGTATTTTCCTAGGAGGCCATCCCCATGCTCTGCTTACTGCCCTCTACCTGTGGGGTCTTGACAGCTGGAATCTTCTCGACGGCTGGCAGAGATCCAGGAGCTGCACCAGAGTGTTCGGGCAGCTGCTGAGGAAGCTCGCAGGAAGGAAGAGGTCTATAAGCAGCTGGTAAGGCCCGTTCCAGAGCCCTGGGGGGCTCAGAGTGGGTGGGGGTGGGTCCTGGGGAGTGCCTGCTGTGTCTCTGCCTAGGTGTCCGAGCTGGAGACCCTGCCCAGAGACGTGTCCCGGCTGGCCTATACCCAGCGCATCCTGGAGATTGTGGGCAATATCCGGAAGCAAAAGGAAGAGATCACTAAGGTGCGCTGCCATGGCCATGGAGGGTGGGTCCTATGGGCAGACATGCCCAAAGGGCAAATGTGTGTTGTGTGGCCGCACAGGGATTCCACACCCTCTGATAGTCAGAGCCACACCATGACCCAAAGCAGTCCCACCCAGTACACTCCAGTTCCCACTGACACAGTGACACAGGCCCTGTCTGGATGTGAGCTCATGTGCAGGAAAGCCTTTAGCTGGTCAGCTGCCCACCCCAGACACAGGCTCACGGCCCTGGTCTCTGCCAGATCTTGTCTGATACAAAGGAGCTTCAGAAGGAAATCAACTCCCTGTCTGGGAAGCTGGACCGGACGTTTGCGGTGACTGATGAGCTTGTGTTCAAGGTGTGGGGCAGGCGGGGGCAGGTGGAGGGGGGGCGTGGGGCTGAGCTGCTGCCTGCCCATGTGCTCATGGGCTGCCTTGGGCCTAGGCCCTATGTGAGCCTTGCAGGTACACTGATGCTCAGGCCTGGCTTTGCTCCATGGAGGATGTAGTCATGGGGGTGGGAGAGTGTGGCCTTGTGGGGTCCTGGAGGTGGTGTGTAGGGGGGCAGCCCACTGATACCTTTGAGGTCCTGTCTGTCTGCTCAGGATGCCAAGAAGGATGATGCTGTTCGGAAGGCCTACAAGTATCTAGCTGCCCTGCATGAGGTGAGTGGAGAAGCATGCCTTGGGCTGGCTGGGGAAGGGCCAGGTTGGGGGCGCAAGCCTTGTCTTCCTGCTGTTCCCAGAACTGCAGCCAGCTCATCCAGACCATTGAGGACACAGGCACCATCATGCGTGAGGTTCGAGACCTTGAGGAGCAGGTGAGGCCTGGGGTTGGGAGGGGAAACCAAGGCAGGCCAGGGGACAGCTCAGTTTGTCCCAAGACAGGCTATGGAAGCAGATACAGCTTATGGCTGGAGTCTCTGCCCTGCCCCTTAGCCATGCACTTGACCTGGAAAAGGTCGGTGGCCTGCTCTGAGCTCCAGCTTCCACCCCAAAGGCTCCCATGCCTGCCTCCCAGGGGCGTTGGCAGAGGCTTCAGCTTGAGTGTGTATGTGGTGGGTAATCCTACCACGTAGGGATGACACACAAAAAGGCCTGGCAGTGGGACAGAGAAGACTTTGTTGGGGGTGGGAGGAGCCCAGGAAGGGCCCTGAGTGGCTATGATGGAGGGGTGGCAAGCAGGAGCTGGGAAAGAGGGCCTGCTTGCTGAAGGGACATCACTCATGTTGCCTAGATCGAGACGGAGATGGGCAAGAAGACCCTCAGCAACCTGGAGAAGATCCAAGAGGACTACCGGGCCCTTCGCCAGGAGAACGCTGGCCTCCTGGGGCGGGTCCGTGAGACCTGATGGGCCGCAGGCAGAGATCTCCCTCACCCCAGGCTTCAGCAGGGATTTGGGGTGTTGGAAGTGATGGCCAGGCGCTTGCCCTAGCTGTTCCCTGTGTTTGCTGTCCAGTCCCTCCTGCTGTGGTGACACCTGCCCACCTGACCCCAACCCTTATTTGGGGTGAACATCCAGACACTGGGAGCTTGGCTGCACTTTATTGGGGACAGTACTGGGGGTTGGGGCCTTCGATCCCAAATAAATGAGGGGCTCTGTCTGCAGTGTAAGCTGAGGCATGGATGGGGGCACAGGGCTCAGGGCGGGGCAGGGCGTGGGTGGCAGGTGAGACCCAGGGCATGTTTTGGCGAGTCAGTGTATGTGACCATGTGTGTCGTGTGGGACTCGAGACCCACTGGGGCGCTGTGTGGGTGTGCGTGGTGTGCAGGTGAGTTCTAATGGACTGTGTGACCAAGTGTAAGTGGTAGGAGCTGCGTAAGACTGTGTGTGACTGGTATGTGTCTATGTGGCTTTCTAGGACCTGAGACCCTGAAGGCACTAAGGCTGCTTCTGTGTGGGTGTGTAGGCATCCCCCCTGTGATGCACCTGGGTGCCTGGAGGCTGGCTGTGGGAGTGTGCTTCGGGGTATGTGGGTTGACAGGCATACTCAGGTGCGATTGTCCGTGTGACTGTGCAGATTTGAGGTTGTGTGAGTGTACTGAGACAGGCTCTTTGTTTGGGGGTGTGTATGAAGTCCAAGGGACAGGATTGTGACTTTTTTCAGCCCTAGGTTGCCTGTGAGTGCCCAAGGCAGGCTGTGTGTGTGGGCAATTGTGAAGGCTCAGTTTGCCTGGAGAGCCTGTCGTGGGGGGCTATGATGGGAGTGCGGGGTTGAGGCCCCTCTGAGCAGCCTTGGTGCAGAGCATATGATCCGGGCGGGGGGGG